TGCCTGTGTAACAGGATAAGGAAAATATGAAACCAAGTTTGATAGAGATAGATAGGCTCCTAGATTGGAGGCCACAGCAAAATTGGCCATTTTAGACCATCAAAGGTAATGGCCACCACTTGTACGCCCACTTTGTGATGAAGGCTTCTCTGGCTTGTTGACCTTCACATTGTTCAGCACGACGTATACCTCGTAGATCAACATAGCCAACAAATTGTAAACTATCCCATGCGGTTGACCTTTTAACGGACATTTCGCCAAATATAACAGCCTCATAAATTGAGTGAGGAGTCTTTAACCCTCTGCTTAAGGGCTTTAAGAGCTTCTGTTGAGAAACCTGGTCTGCGAATATTGAAGAGCTTCTCTAACGAATCTGTAGGCAGCAGGTGAATAAAAATTTAGTGTTAAAGCGAAAGATTTGATAGTGTTACAGAACTGTTTGTTGGTTGGATTTTTAATCCGACTAAAGAAACATTAAAACATTCATTTATCTTATCCGCAGACCTTTTATTCCACATGTTCTAACGCTTACCGGTAGAAGGAAATGCTGCTACCTTTCTTAGTCTGTTGCTGCAATTTATTGCAGCACAGGAAATCACCATTTTAATACTGGAGCTTCAGTTCGTAATAGACTAAAAAACGCTCACGACCAATCACTTCTTACATTTCACAATAGGTTCACTCTTATTGCCAACAAAATGGCGTAGGCGCACACTTTCAATGTACAGAGGGAACAGTAGCGCTTTGTTGTACTTACTACCTCTATGCCGATACGCTTGCGCTGACGACGTCCAGTGCCGTAACTATGTACGCTTTGATGAACTGCCACAGTACGTAAACCTCGCACATTGTTTAAACAATTTGAGGACTGCGCGATTTACGCATTTTTTGATTGGTTCCTCAACAGATTTTCTACTTACATTTTTTACATCAATTCCTTCATATTTTCTATCTACTTTTGCAACAATCGATCTGGCAACTGCACGAGATTATGCCAAAAGAATAACATTGTCCATAAGAGCCCAGTGTGCCTTCACTTCGTGGAAAATGAGCATATGCCGGAGCCAATGATTGGGATCAACGAACAGCCCATTAGATTGCTCGCACGCCCACAGTAAGCCACAATTCACGTCCCTCGCGTTTTCCTAATGCGGTCATTATTTCGGAAACAATGTCTCTCGCATTTTTAAATTTTGTTCTAATGGCAGTTCGGAACATTGGTTGATAATGACGTAAGCAGATTGTTTCAGCGTATTGGTCCCTACATGAACTGGAAGCACATGTTTTGTTTTTTTCACTACCGAAGTCATTTGTGCTATGTCTCCTCCGAGGGAAAAGGTACGTCACCGCCTTCTTTCTTCAATACCCCGCTGCTGTGTCGCGACATGGAGTGGCCCAACACCCTCACTCTACTGTACGGAGCATCTGACTGAAGAGACTCCCTCATATTTGGACGGTCGTTTTCCTCTTCCATTCCGTTACTTTTAACTCCCTGGTCCTTAAGGTCGGTTCTCGTGTGTGTTTGTGTGTCTGAGCCAAATCGGCTTCTAGTCTTCGCATTCACCGCTCGCTCCTATCACACTTGGAGCGCGTCGCCTCCGCCACCTGCACCCGGGATTCAGCTCTAGCACTCGTATCGCGAGGAGAGGAGAGGAGAGCCACGCGGACACCGCCTGCGCCGAAGCCAACCCACCGAGGAGGGCGCGTGCAGCCCGTGCCGCGCCGCGCCCGTTGCCTTTCACTTGGCGCAGCTACTCCGAAAGACGTCTTCCTGTGAGCGGCCGCATCGAGGAAAAATGTAGGGAAACAATTTCCGGACATGCAATAAAAATTTGGAAAGTAAAGTTGTGTTGTTAGGGGGGTAATTGAAGTATCGAATGATTTGGCTGGGTGTTCGAACTTGAAGATTGTTGTGGGGCACCCCTCCCCCCTTAAGATTCTTTGAACCGTACAATAATTTAGAAATTAGATTAAGATTCAATTTTATTTCCTGAAATGTGTTGTTGAATAATATTAATATATATATATATATATATATATATATATATATATATATATATATATTGAAACGTTTCTCCGTGGTGAATTAAAACCAACAGAATATTTAAACAAAAACGTTTATTCGTGAACAATTATACACTAAAATCTACTTGGTCTATTTACAAATATATTACACTTAATTATTTTTCTTTACACACGATTCCGTTCTCTTGATGGCTTATTTACACAGTTCACTTCTTACACACTATTTTATTTACACCGTTCTCTTCTTCTACAGTATCAGCCAGTCCGATGCACTGTCCACGGTCCACTGCACTTGACCCAATTCTCTGCGCAGACCACAATTCCTTGCGCAGACCACACTTCACTGCGCACACCAGGGTCCACTGCACTGCTGTTTATCGCGATGCTCACTTCACAGTTCAGCTTCCACTGCAGACTGCAAACTTCTGACTGCTGTTTCCCCACTGCACCACTGCTTACCGCGATGCACCCTTCACAGCTCAGCTTTCATTGCAGACTTCAGACTGCTGACTGCCGTTCAACCGCTGCACCATTCTTCACCGCAATTCACATTTCACAGCACAGATTCCACTTCGGACACACTGACGGATAGGCCTGACTGACAAATAGGCCTGATAATTGCTTTGTAAAGGATACTTTGTTGTTAAAAGAAAGATTTTGACTTTAAGACACTTTTTGGAGAGGGTAAATGTGATGTTTTTGGATTAGGAGGCATTTGCTTGAATACACCATTTTTGTAACCATTCTTCTAGTTGGGTCAGGTGCTCTTGCAGATTTAGTGAAGCTTGGAGTGGGCCTTCATGCGCAGCCAAAATTGCTGTATCGTCCGCAAAAGTTGCAGTTGTAGTATTTTCATTGGTTGGTAGATCATTGGTGTATGTAAGGTATAAAACAGGATATAATGCGTATAAGGTATATAAAAAGGCCTATCTTAAGTATGCTAACTTAAAATCTAACTTATTAACTAAAACATCTGCCACTTTGGGCCTATTCTAGTTATTACACAGTAGTTACGTTTTTGAAAGTTCTTAAAATTGTTATTCTTTATATTTTTAATCGTTCACTCTCACATTTGTGTTTAAACTATGTATTCAAAATATCATTCACACAATCGCACAACACTACACTACACTACACTACACTGTATTGTATACACTATTTACACTAGTTTTATTCGCCACGGCGCCGCGACGTCTTCATTGGCAGGCCGCTACGGGAGCGATCGGAACCGTTCTTTCCACTCGTCTGGATAGTGGTTCGCGAGCGCCGAGCAAGAGCGACATGTGGAGGAACTGTGAGTGATGCTTCCTTTTATTCTTGTCTCTCCACAAAATGGGGAACTTTCACATGTGAATTAATTTATGTAGATAAAATGCAAGAAAAGTATTCTTTAAAACTTCCTTTTTAAAAAAATATTTAAATACATAATTGTGACTGTAGTGTGCTGCAGGCTTAATTAAGAACATATTGAAAGAAAACAGGTCCTCTGAAATTCAAAATTAATGTTATGTCGATTTACATCCATGAGTTACTTCGCATACTTATTCCCATCTTTTTCCACACTATTTGTATCAATTCTTATAATATTTGCTGTAGTGACAGTAGTGGAACAATGTAAATCACTCGTGAAAACTATCCCTATCTCAAACTACACTCACACTCTTGGCACTCCCACAACAGCTCTCTCTCCAGCCCATGTGCTCGGTGGAAGAATACATTTCAGTGATACAAACTTATTTTAAAACCTATCAAACAAATCGTCTACTTCCTGAACAAACAATTATGGATCTGAATGGACCATGAACAACACTATATACTACGGCATAACACTTGAAATCCAAAATTACAACAGCAATACTTAGAGATAACCAAAATTGACAGTATTATACTTCGTATCATTGCTGGTATGAATTATATTCCGAGCATCTCCTGCACTCTTTTCCAGCAGATAGGGAGTCACCTGTAATACAAAAAGAGCCGTTATTGAAATTTAAGATATGTAGTGCTGTCGCATCGTCATAGAACAATGTTTCTGTACTCACCAGGTCATGCGCCAACACAAGTTGTTAATGTCCTCCATACACAAGAAGCTAGGTTTTGGTCCATTGCCATCAGCCATTTCATAAACCTATAATAAAATTTGTAATTATAAATTTCTAAGTAAAACAACTTCAGTTTAATGTTATTGTAAACAAACATATAACTACATAAAAAATTAGGGGAATAGTATGAGATCAATAGAAAATTAATATTGGTTAATGAATGGTTGAGCATACATTTTTTGAGTGCTAATGTTTGTTAAAGTGTGTGGTTATGGTGGAAGATAAATTTAGGGAAGAACGAATCATTTTTTTTAAAAATAGTTTAAACCCGTACACTTGACGGGTTTCTGCAATAAACGACCAGAAATAAATTGTTTTGATTTTTAACATCAGCTTTTACGAGGATTGATCATTTGTAATGAAATTGTGAGAGTTGCTATTAATTATTTATTACAATAGACGATATCATTTTAGAAATAACTTTTTTCCACAAAAAGCTTGAAAAACCAGACTTGTTACTCGTTTTGATGCGCACCATCACCTTCACTACCTCTGGTTGGCCAATGCAAAATGTCATAAAACTTTTCATAGGTCAACTACATTAGGTCTCATGTTTACTAAATCGTCCATCTTTTTGTTAATTCATACCTATGACAAGAACAGTTAAATATAGAACAAACGTGTCTAATAAAATATTTGAAGATAACCAAAATAACTTTCACTTTTAACACACATGTCTTTATCACGCCGGTCCATTTTTAATAAAGATTACCTCGCACTCTAAGGAGCCTGAAAAGGCATATATACTTGTCCTCAGCAACTTCTGAGTTTCTCATTAGCCCTTCGCCGTTTTTTCGCTCGGCGCGGAAAACCCGCCGTATTTTACAGCGACAATGCAGCAACGTTCAAAGAAGCTCATCGAAAAATCGCCGAATGGGTGGTGCAAGAAACAAAAAAGCAGTTCCCGCTTTAGTTTCCGCTCAGTCAGCTTAGCCACTCTTCGGGAACTGCTTGGCGCCCTGCTTGAGTCGTTTTGTACACTATGGAATTTACACTGTCTTACTCTATCGTAGCCTAATATAATTTCATTGACTTACAGAATACAAGATTCCTTAATCCTATTCTTGAGCTAGTTAGTTTTGGCGGTGGACTTGACTTCTTGGTTTTGTTGTCTTTTGGTGTGTGTGTGTGTGTGTGTGTGTGTGTGTGTGTGTGTGTGGTGAAAATGTGTGTAGGGGGGGTGGAGCCGTTAGTATTGGTGTAGAAATAACGTTTAGATTTTGTGAGGGCTTTGAGTGAGTGTGTTTGTATGACTTGGAGTTTGTATTATTTTGTGTGTGTGTGTTCGGTGACAATACGGTATTTTGTGTTTAAGGAGGTTTTGATATGTCAGAGGGAAGTTTTTTAAGTTTGAAATGGGTTCGTTTGCAGTAATATTGTGCGTAGCGTTGAAAGAGAGGGTGGGTATCTAACTTTGCGATGTGAATTCTTTCCTTTGCGAGTTCGTGTAGTGTGTACTCCTAAGTACTTGTGCCTCGCCACGGTATAGTGTGACCATTTAGGTGGATGGGCGCGACCGTGCGTGTTGTGCGAAAGTTTGTGTGAAGAGGATGGCTTGGCATCTCTGCGAGTTCAGCTTGATGCAGTTTTCCGCGCTCCAATTCGCTAGCGCATCAGCGGCGCACTGTAGTCGCTTGATCGCAAATTCAGTGCGAGGATCCTTGACCGCGAACGCTATGTCATCTATGTAGACAAATTCGCTCACTCCGGCAGTTGTTGGAATGTCGTTTAGAAATAGAGAAAAGAGAAAACGAGATAGACAGCGCCTTGATGGACGCCGGCGGGAATTGGTCGGAGAGTTGGAGTGAGATGGGCAGCAAACGGTGAAAGTTCGTGAAGTTAGGTAGCTAGTGAATAAATTGAGGGACGTAGGGGCGAATTTTATGTACAAGCAGTGAGTGGAGGACAGTGTCAAAGGCGTAGGAGTAGTCGAAGAATAGAGCTGGGATAGAGCAACGTCGTAAAACAGTAGACGAAACACAGAAGGTGAAGCGTAAAAGTTGGAGGGCGGAGGCCCAATTTTAAAATGTAATCTTTACGAGAGCCATATTTGAGGATTATCTCGTGTGCTGGGCCGCACACAGGGAGTAAACAGAGCAATGCCGGCGCTCCACCACCTCTGCCCGTTTACGCGTGGGACGACGTGACAAAAAGCGAAATCCTTGCGAATTCGCTTGCGTTGCAGTTCCGCACGTCGCCACCTCGCTGCCATTGGCCGCCACCGCTGTAGGTGGTGCTGCGCCAATTACGCGAGCGGCTTGCAGCAACGCCATTGGCCCGTTTCCCCCCTCTCCTCGGCAAGACGAGTGACGGGAGAGGAGCTCCGTGCTGAACTGAAACATGTCAATGCGAGGAAGGCAAACCGCCAACAAAGGCAACGCGATAGACTCGCGCACTCCGTCTAGCGCTACCGTTTCACGCGGAAAAGTAACTGTCAGGCGTGCCGGTACAAACTTGGACCCTACACGGTCCACGCGTGTTCGATCCCGAGGCGCAAGGATTCAGTACTGATGGCGGAGCTACAACACCTGCAGGAGGAACACGCCGCCACTGCCACCAGAGCCGACTGCGCTCGAGGAACCCTGTCGAGTTCACTCCACAAACAGACACCACCACCACACACCGGTGACTCGATATCATGCCCCGCCGTTCATGCATACACCTCTCGAAGCCCCTTCGAACAACTGCCGGTCAGGCGCGACCACCGAAATAATGTCAGATTCCGACAGCTCCGCCGAGGACGGCCCAAGTAGCCCCCAAAATCTCCGACCCTTACTCAATGCCATGTTCCGTCAAAACGCTACCCCAACAGCGGAAGCCCCCAAACGAAAACCGCGTAAACGAAGAAGGCTGGCAACTCTGCACCCGGATATTCCGTCCACGGCCCGCCCAAAGCGACACCCAATCCGACGGCGAACCGCTACCAAGTATTCAGCACGCGTGTACAGCCTATAACCGCGCAGCAAGCGGCGCCTTCCGCAGACACAAGCGAAACTACGTCCCCGGCCCCCGCGCCCACAAGCCATGGGAGAAATCGTGATCGAGCAGCCGGTAGACGCTCAGGTACCCATGAGCGCGCTCCGCCCCCCACCACACAGTGCCTCTGCCGTCTGCCTCCTTTACTTTGCGACCCGGCTGCGTGAAGGATCGCATGCAGCACTTCAACCAGCTCGTGCAATTCTCTTTCCGGCGCCACCGAAGAAAGGCGCAACCGACTGGTTATCCGCGGCCTCCGAAACGGAGAAATCCCGGAAGATTTAAAATGTCACTTAGAATCGCAGGGGGCAATAGTTCGCCGCATAAGTGAAATGAAGCGCGTGGTGTACAGCGTGACCGGCGCGAAAACTTTCGAATCGATGGGGTCATACATCGTGGAAATCAACCAAGCACGAATTAACCACCTTAAAACCACCACCGTTCTCATCAATCAATCCGTTGGGAGGAATACCGGGGCAGGAACCGAGTACCCCAGTGCAAGCGCTGCCAGCTCTGGGGGCACTCAGACAACGGCTGCCGGAGAAGGGAAATTTGCCTATACTGCGGCGACTCGCACAGCTTTGACCACTGCCCCACGTCGCTATACGTCGTGGAAGTAAATCAGGCACAGGTAAACACCTTGTTAAAAGCACGAATGTCCTACTCAGCCAGGCCATTCGCTGGGAGGAGTATCGGGGAAGGAACAGGGTACCCCACTGCAAGCGATGCCAGCTCTCAACGGCTGCCGGAGAAGGGAAGTTTGCCTATACTGCGGCGGCCCGCACAGTTTCGACCACTGCCCAAAGCCTGAAAGCCCCAAATGCGTCAACTGCGGCGACGGGCGTGTCGCCTCATACCACGAATGCCCAGCATTACAAAGTTACAAAGCCGCCAGCTCAGCGGAGCGCGCCAGACGCGAGCCGACGCCAATGCCTCGTGAGACTCGCGAATGCCTTCAATCGCGCCCGCAGCTTGAATAGAAAAAGAACGAGGTCAGGAAAGACAATAGCCGTTCGGCGCGCTTTTGGCGTTGTTTACCGCACTTTTCATGCAAGTATTGGCGTCTCGCCTATTGTAGCATATCTCTCGGGCGCTTGTACGTGGCCGTGGGATCCGGCTCGTACAAAGATAAATTTATTATAATGTCATTGTTTGACGTATTTATTTTTGAAAAGAAATTTTTAGCTAAGTTTTTAAAGTGCTCTTCGAGGAGCGATAGTTTTAATGTAAAGTGTAATTCTGAGACTAATATAAATTGGCGCGCACGGTATTCTACTGTGCTCTTCTAGATTATGAGTGCGACATGCCCGCACAGCTCTTATAAAAGTATACAGACAAATATTCAATTTTGATATTACTCGGGCAACTTTTCTTTGGCGATGGATTGACGATTTCGGGTGGAGTGGGTGTTTTAGTTAAAGTCGGCCAATAGAGTATTTTAAGTAATGTCAACATGTGAAATGAAAGTCAATCCTGCATCTTGTGCGGCCAGGTCATCGCTCTGGAAAGGCAACAGCAGGGACACTAGATGAATAAAAATGTATGTAAGCAGTCCGATTGGGTAGATCTTCGCTAATTTAGACAAGTATTTTTGTCGAAATAACCCAGAACTCACCACGTGGAGGTGTCAACACATCGTGTTCCCCACTTACCCTCCCAACCACCCTACCCTTTGAGAGCAAGTTAGTCATAATCGATGTTTTTAATGTCAAGTCTGGGTTTGGTGTCGTAATCGGGTAATGGTCAGATTAATCAGATCATAGAGAGTTTTCCGATGAATGTGAATCTTCACTCTCATCACTGGACCATGAAGAGTTGTTAATAATAATTTCATCAATGGACATTTCTAGAATGCCATCCTATGTCCAATATTCCACCTCAATGTTTTGCACATGTCTACAATAACCTTCCCGTTCTGATGGTGATACATGTGCAAAAGCTGATTTAGTGAGTTTAAGCAAATTTTCTGCCTCCATATCTACTGAAATGTTCTGCTCTCTGACATCTTTTAATTTTAGCCCATACACGTTCTATGGGGTTGTAATCACTGATACGGGGGCAGGCAAATTACTGTGTGGCCTTTTTTTGCTACAAGTTCATCTACAACATATGTTTTATGAGCAGGCTTATTTTCCTTAATTTTTTTTAAAATAGTGCTTCTTTTCTCATGGACATATCACATTCAATGCTCTTATTTTCTAATCATTGAAGCCTGGTTATTTTGGTGTCATATCTGCATGGGTTTTTTCTACCTGTCTGTTGTGATAAGATCCATTGTCCAGCAGTATTACTGATTCAGGGGACAGATTGTCAAGTATTTTTGTACAAAACCACTTTCAATTTTTTCTGAATTTATCTGACCATGATAATCCCCTGACGTTGATTTGCCTTTCAATATTATTTGAGCCTCCTCAATGAATCCAATTTTGGAACCAACACTAGCAACAATAAATCTTTTAGATCTACTTTCCCAATCAGTGACACCAATAACATCTTTTCTTTGCCAGCATTTTCCCCACAATAAGATTGCTGTCGATCCATGATTCGTCAATCCACAATATCGGCTCTGTCTAGAAGCAAAGTTCTCTTATTTTGAACTCTTTTCCAAAAAACACATGCTGTGCAATGTTTTTTTTTAAGAAATGTTTTCCCCCATTTCCATTTAATCTTTTCTCTCAGAACAGGTAGAAGCTTTTCTAATGATGGAACTATTTTTCCACTGATTAAAAATGCTGGATTGTATCTCGTATAAATCTCTCTAACCTTACATTTTGTTCTTGTTCTAATATAAAAAAGAAAAGAACGGACCCTTAAATAATATTTAAATATTATGGAATATTTCAAATTAGCAAACAATGTTGACGCGATTACATCAAAATTCCTTTTTGTTTTAAGATAGGATGCCTTAATTAAATAATTAGAGGTGTCCAATTTATTATAATTGAAGTACATCTATATTTTCCTTTTACATCATTTCAATTGTTTCCAAGTTTTTAGAATTAATGGTTGATTTATAATGTAATTACATTTTTTTAAAGTATTAGTGTTAACGGAATTAAGAAGGAATTAATGTTTGTCATGCAACCAAGTTTTTTGTCCCAGCAAAATGAAGACGTTCGTATTTTGCTGATCAGAAAAAATCTAAAATCATTTTGAAGTCAATAAGACAAAGTTGATTAAAAATATATTGATAAAAAATGAAATTAAACCATTTTTT